ACAGCGTGGCGTGGTTAGTAGATACAGTGTGGCATAGTTAGTAGCTACAGCTTTGCGTGGTTAGTAGCTACAGCGTGGCTAGTAGCTACAGTGTGGCGTGGTTAGTAGCTACAGTGTGGCGTGGTTAATAGATACAGTGTGGCGTGGTTAATAAATACAGTTTGGCATAGTTAGTAGCTACAGCATGGCTAGTAGCTACAGTGTGGAGTGGTTAGTAACGACAGCGTGGCGTGGTTAGTAGATAAAGTGTGGCGTGGTTAGTAGATACAGGGCAGCTGTGGCTGAGTAGGGCGTCTGTGGCTGAGTGGTTAGAGCAGTCGTACTCCAATGAAAGAGTTGGGGGTTCGAACCCCACAGCAGTCACATGCCGAAGTGTCCATGGGCAAGACACTGAACCCCTCATAGCCTCTGATGTGTGTCCCATCAGTGTATGAATGTGATAAATAAAAAAGCTCTGATTAGTCTCTTTAGAATTATTTGTTCAATTAGCTTTGTAGAGATCTAGTAGAGTGCTGTATAAATGGGTAAATGAGGACACAGACTGTAGTGTACAGCACTTTGAGTATCTCAATAAAGATAGAAAGGCGCTATATAAGTACAGTCCATTTGCCATTTAGTGTGGCGTGGTTACAATGTGACGTGGTTCGTAGCTACAGTGTGGCATGGTCAGTAGCTACAGCTTTTCATGGTTAGTAGCTACAGCGTAGCGTGGTTAGTAGTTACAGTGTGGCGTAGGTAGTAGATACAGTGTGGCATAGTTAGTAGCTAAAGCGTGGCGTGATCAGTAGCTACAGCGTGGCGTGGTTAGTAGCTACAGTGTGGCGTGGTTAGTAGCCACAGTGTGGCGTGGTTAGTAGATACAGTGTGGCATAGTTAATAGCTACAGCTTTGCGTGGTTAGTAGCTACAGCGTGGCATGGTTAGTAGCTACAGCGTGGCTTGGTTAATAGATACAGTGTGGCATAGTTAGTAGCTACAGTGTGGTGTGGTTAGTAGATACAGCGTGGCATGGTTAGTGGCTACAATGTGGTATGGTTCCTAGCTACAGTGTGGCATGGCCAGTAGCTACAGCGTGGCGTTGTTAGTAGATACAGTGTGGCGTGGTTAGTAGCTACAGCGTGGTGTGGTTATTAGCGACAGCGTGGCGTGGTTAGTGGCTACAATGTGGTGTTTCGTAGCTACAGCGTGGCGTGGTTAGTGGCTACAATGTGACGTGGTTCGTAGCTACAGTGTGGCATGGTCAGTAGCTACAGCGTGGCATGGTTAGTAGCTACAGCGTAGCGTTGTTAGTAGTTACAGTGTGGCGTGGGTAGTAGATACAGTGTGGCATAGTTAGTAGCTACAGCATGACGTGGTCAGTAGCTACAGCGTGGCATGTTTATTAGCTACAGTGTGGCATGGTTAGTAGCCACAGTGTGGCGCAGTTGGTAGATACAGTGTGGCATAGTTCGTAGCTACAGCTTTGTGTGGTTAGTAGCTACAGTGTGGCGTGGTTAGTATCCACAGTGTGGCATGGTTAATAGCTACAGCTTTGTGTGGTTAGTAGCTACAGCATGGCATGGTTAGTAGCTACAGCGTGGCGTGGTTAATAGATACAGTGTGGCATGGTTAGTAGATACAGCGTGGCGTGGTTAGTGGTTGCAATGTGGCATTAAAAAAAAAGGTTTGTAGGCTCAATCATCCAGGTAGATAACAAAAAAAGGTTAAATCATTTAATCTGGACCAGTTTCTTTAAGGGAGAAACGTTTCGTCTTACATGCGGAAGACTTCCTCAATCTGTGGCCTCCCAACCAGATCTGTCTGATGAGTAGCCTTCATTACTGTGTTTCAAGCCAACCTCCTATTGGAATCTCAGAAGCAGACTTTTAACACATGCAAAAGGACCCATCCATCCAAAACAATAAATCATCAAACTAACATAATTTGAGTAAAAACAGAACCACAATAAGCCTCATCAGCTTTACACATACAATTACACACACAACTACACAGCACTTCTAATGTAATTGTGTGTACATATTTTCTCTGGTGTACACACACTGATGAGCTCATGAGTGTGGGCTCCAGCATCTTCCACTTCGACATTAAAAGTAGCCATCTAATTAGTGAGCAAATGAACGGTGAATTGCTCCAACTAATATGCTTTAAAACCAGGTTTCTTAATTAAATACACCTGTTAATTTGAAGAAGGTAAAGTAAATATTTGAGGCAGCAACTGAAGAATTCATGGCAAAAGTATGTTTGTTTTATTTTTTAGGTCGGTCTGAAAGACAAAAAAAATCATTGAGTCAAGTCTAACTGCATATCTAAGCTCCAGGAACTCTGATATGTTAAGAAGAAACATGTTCCTTGCTGATACTTAATCTGTAAAAACAGCAGTCTTAAAATGTTTTCCACCTCCTACTGGTCCGACTCTGACAAAAACACACAAACCTTATCCGAAGTCACACAACCAGTCCCATTGTAATAGAGTCCAGTCAATAAAACATGAGCATAATCAAATATTAAGTTCTTCACTGAAGTCCAAAATACACATCTGGAAATACCGGACTAAAGCAAACAAATATATTTACAATATATAACCTTATTTATCAATCAGAACAGTCACAGTTTCAATTATCTGTAGAGTCAGAAACATTCTGAGTTCATCTGTTCAATCATTTCTGAGCAAAAGGCAGAACTTCTGACCAAAGTGAACAATAATCTTTATATATAATTTAGCAACACATGCTTATTTACATATTCTGCAGACAAAACAACATTTAGAGAAGAAAAACTTCAGTTCTTAAAAACAGTTTTAACCCACTACTTAGAGTGCTGCTGAGAAAAACCAATTCACAGTTGGATTAGTGGAACACGAAATCTATTCATAAAGCTAGTTTTTCCATAAAAAGACACTGGTTTATGGCTGCATGGTGGTGCAGTGGCTTAGCATTGTTGTCTTGTACTAAGAAAGTTACAGGTTCAAAACTCAGATTAGCTTATGTGAAGTTTGCAGGTTCTCCCTGTACAGCTGTAGGTTTTCTCCAGTACCACAGTACAAAAACTTGTAGGTTACCTAAATTTAATTAGAAATGATGCATTGGCTCTCTGTACATGATATTTATAAGACTGAGTTTGTTGCAGCGCTGTAGACTGGAGAAGTCTTTTGGAAAAAAGATGACATGTTCCAACAAAGAAGAATCTATCCAGAGGATCAGACTTAACCTTAGACTCTCGGTACGATTGTTCCTCTCTATGTGGGCCTATAACAGACTAGTAATGAGTTTGGGGTGTTCTCCGGCTCTCAACATTTGAGTGTTGGAGATACTGTATAACTGGCTTCTCACAACCCTGAACAAAATCAAGCAAGTCTAAAAACATGTATGGATAGTTTAAATATGGAATTATGCAAAGAAAGAGAATTTACTCTTGCTTTGGAGAGAAGCAAACTTCTTTATATACATAAGTGACTATACAACTCAGATTTATTGCTGTAAATCAGAGTCAGAGTCAGTCAGAGTTTCTTTATTGTCATTCGTACCTCATGTGGTACATGTGGTGGAGCGAAATTATGTACACAAGGTCCCAGTTACATCCAACAATAAAATGTATAAAAAAAACAGTAATAACATCTAAGATATGAACTAAGAAAAGCATCAACTAAATATACACTAAGCACTCATAACATAAAACATTGAACATCAGCACAAACATGAACATGAATCTGTGAGCAGATGTGCACGCATGAACACATCAACATTGTAGCTGCACAATCATACGTGAGCAGAGTAAACAGGAGGGGACTCAACACACATCCCTGAGGAGAGCCAGTGCTGAGGGTTATGGTGGAGGAGGAGAGGTTGTGGATCCTCACTAACTGTGGTCTGTTTGTTAAAAAGTCTAGTACCCAGTTGCAAATGGAGGGGCTTAGTCCTAGTGTGGAAAGTTTGTCCATCAGGGTTTGGGGGATCATGGTGTTGAAGGTGGATGTGAAGTCCACAAAGAGCATACGGACGTAAGAGTTTTTCTGCTCCAGGTGGTTGAGCGCAGTGTGGACCACAGAGGAGATGGCATCCTCTGTTGATCGGTTCTCACGGTATGCATACTGATGAGGGTCCTCGTTGATGTTGATGGTTGTTTTGATGCGAGTCATGACCAGTTTTTCAAAGCATTTAGCGACTATCGGGGTGAGGGCCACTGGCCGATAGTCATTCAGACCAGTCACTGTAGAGCTTTTTGGGACTGGGATGATGGTGGCAGTCTTCAGGCAGGTGGGAACTGTCTCCAGGGTAAGTGAGGTGTTAAAGATGTCTGCCAGCACCTCACAGAGCTGATCAGCACATTCCTTCAACACTTTTCCGGGAATGTTGTCTGGGCCAGTTGCTTTGTGCGGATTAATCCTCCTGAAGGTACTCCTTACTTCTGCTGAGGTCACGCTGAGATGCTCTTCATCCGGTGGTGAGGTGAGTCTGGTGCTGGGTGGTCTGTTCGGGTCTTCAAAGCGTGCATAGAACTTGTTGAGGGCATCAGGCAGAGATAGGTCTTTGGGGCATTGTTCACTCCTTCCTTTATAATCTGTTATGCACTTAATGCCCCTCCACATGCTCCGAGGGTCTTGTGAGATTAATTGACCCTCGATCCTCTGTGCATATGTGCCCTTGGCCCTCTTAATACCAGCAACCAGCTCTTTTCTTGTCCTACTCAGCTCCTCTGAGTTTCCAGACCTGAAGGCAGTGTTCCTGGCTTCCAGCAGGGTACGCACCTCTGCATTCGGCCAAGGTTTTCTGTTTGGGTAGCTTTTAACATTTCTGATAGTGGAGACGGTGTCAGTACATGTACTAATGTAACCCAGAACTGAGGATGTGTATTGTCAAGATCAAGCGAACCTCCATTTTCAGCAGCTTCTCTGAAAACCTGCCAGTCTGTTCGATCAAAACAATCTCTCAGTATGGGGCCACTGTCCTGGATCCAGCATTTAACTTCCTTTTGTACCGGTCTGGAGCGTCTCAGCAGGGGCAAGTAAGCAGGAGCCAGGAAGATTGAGATGTGGTCTGACAGTCCTAGGTGGGGGCGGGGTTCGGCTTTGTATGCATCTTTTACGTTCGTGTAAACACGGTCCAGCGTGTGGTCTCCACGTGTCGGAATTGTCACATGCTGATTAAAGCTTGGGAGACAGTCCTTTAGATTCACGTGGTTAAAGTCTCCGGCTATCACGTAAAGAGCCTTGGGTGTTTGCTCTGCAGCGAGCTGATGATATCATGAAGCTCCTGTAGTGATTCATTAGCATTAGCGTCCGGAGGAATGTAAACGACAGAGATGAAAGTCACCGTGAACTCACGGGGTAGATAATGTGGCCGACATTTCACTGTTATTTGCTCCAAAGCCTTCGAGCATGAGCTATTTACAACAGTACAGTTCGTGCACCAACTTTTACTCACGTAAATGCACACTCCGCCTCCCCGTGATTTCCCCGTTAGCTCGCTGCAGCGGTCCGCTCGAAAAAAAAGTCCGTCATCCAGCTGGAAGACTGTGTCCGGCGTTTCGCTTGTAATCCACGTTTCCGTGAGGCAAAGCACCGCACACTTCTTCATCTCTTCTGAGGCGCCCGCTCTCAGACGAAGTAAATCCATCTTGTTGTCCAACGAGCAGACATTCGACAGAAAGAGAGACGGCATGGGGAGTTTACCGGCTTTAGCGTTAGCTCGTAGCCTCACCATAACCCCCGCCCGGCATCCTCTCCTCTTAAGCCGGGAGCAGCGCTTCCTCTTCTGCCCGCTGGAACGCCTCTGCTGCAGCTTCCAGGTAGATGACTTTAAGATCTGCATTCTGCCGAGCGTAGATCAATATTAACCCAACTGTATAGATTGCAGACTTCTTGTTGTGGAGGAAGAAGGTTGAATTCTCAATTTGTTGGTGATGAGGCTTTGTCTCCAGCAGAGGACTTCAAGTATCTGGGAGTCTTGTTCAGAAGTGCTGACAGAATGATGACGGAGAGGGGTCGACAGACCAGAGCCTCATTCGCAGTAACATTCTAGTTCATTGTGGTGAAGAAAGAGCTATTGCAAAAGGCAAAGTTCTCAATGATTTTGGTCTGTCTACAGTCCCCTCCAAAAGTATTGGAACAGCAAGGAAAATTCCTGTTTTAGTTGTTCACTGAAGACATTTGGGTTGAAGATATAAAGATGAGTACAAGATAAAAGTTTAAAATTTCAGCTTTTATTTCCTGGTATTTACATTTAGATGTGTTCAACAACTCAGGACATACCCCCATTTGTTTGAACCTATCCATTTTCCAAGATATCCGAACTATTGGATCATGTGACTCACAGTTGTTTCTTGCTGAGCTGGTGTGGATTTTCAGGTTGATTGTTCAAACATTAAATAGCTCTGCAGGACCAATCTCAGTTTTTAGCCTGAGTTTAAACCTCTCAAGACTGCATTTCTTGTTAAAGAGGATAAACTAACATGTAAATCTGATCTGTCTATGGGAGAAAAGTAAAGCATTTTGAAGCTGAGAAAAGAAGGTGAATCAATCAGAGCCATTGGACAAACATTAGACATAGCAAACATAACAACTTGGAATGTCCTGAACAAGAAAGAAACTAACGATGTACTGAGAAGCAGACGTCCAACAGGTTGGCCAAGTAAAACAACAACAGTTGAGGACAGAAATGTGTGAGAGCGGTGAAGAAAACCCTACTTCCATCAATAACAACCTCCACAATGCAGGGGTGAAGGTATCGATCCCACTGTTCAAAGACTCGGAGAGCAGAAATAAAGAGGCCCAACCACAAGATGCAAACCACTCATCAGAAGCCAGAATCAGAAGGCCATGATAGAATTTACAAAGAAGTACAGAGATGAGCCGCAAAAGTTCTGTAGCACAATCTGATGGACTGATGAGACCAAGATCTGTCTTTACCAAAGAGTGAAGAAAGAAAGGAACTGCATACAGCTCATCTGTGAAGCACTGTGGAGGTAATATCATGGTTTGGGCGTGCACGGCTGCTTCTGGAACAGGCTCATTAAAAAATTTTGATGATGTAACTAATGATAGTAGCAGCAGAATGAATTCTGAAATGTACAGAAACATTTTGTCCACCAGTTCAAGGAGAAATGCTTCCAAACTAAATGGGAGGATGTTTATCATGCAGCAGGACAATGACCCAAAACAACCAGCAACAAAGCAAATGACTTCATCAGGGGAACAAAGGGGAAGGTTTGAGATCGGCAAAGTCCGTCACCAGACTTGAACCCAATAGAGCATGAACTGCAGGTTTTAGACCGGGCAAGTCCAGTGTTTCCCCCACCATTATACAGGCGGGGTGCCCCACCCCATCAACAGAACTGAGCACCCCGCCTATGAACTGAACTTGCCTCCCCCACCCGGCACTGACATATCACTAAGCTAGTGGCACAAAATACAGGCTCTTTAGCTAAAAAGCCAAAGGCAGCGCTCACATTGCCTCTTCCCTCATGTTGAACGACCCCCGCCCCCGCTCAAAAACTGTTAGTACAAGCTGCGCTCAGACATGTCTTTGTCCCCCCATCAGCAAAAATTATGTATGAGATGAGCACCCCGCCATGGCAAGCTAACTAGGGGAAAAACTGAAGTCCATCACCAGACTTGAATCCAACAGAGCCTGAACTGAAGGTTTGAGACTGGGCAAGTCCATCACCAAACTTGAACCCAATAGAGCGTGTACTAAAAGTTGTAAACCAGTCAAGTCCGTTAACAGACCTGAAACCAATAGAGCATGAATTGAAGGTTTTAGATTGGCCAAGTCCGTCAACTGTAGGGTTTTTTCAACCTCTCTCCACCAGGTTCCTGAAGGCATGGGCAGTGCTGGTGAGCAGCTGCAGCTGGAGACCATCTTCCCTAATTGGTGCAAGGACTACTTAAGGCTTCAGTTGAGCTCCAGTCATTGCTGGAGCATTGTTCTACCTGCCTGTATATATGCTTCCAGCCCAGTATAGTATTTAGAAACGTAAATACTTACTTTGTTTCTGTCTGCATGTTTTCAGAGTCTTGATGTCCTGGATCTTGTCCTTTAACCTGAAGTATTGGAGAAACCCTTGGAGGATAAAACTCACCTGTGACTCTTGGTTCTCAGCTGCTTTCACACGCCTTCCACCACTTGCCTCTGCAGACAGCCTGGCCCGTCGCTCTTGGAGAAAAAACCCTCAGCCTTACTCACCCAGCCTTCTCAACTCCTTCCACTGTAAGCTCCTCAAGATTTTGGTAGATCACCTGTTGGATAAATTTTCCTACCGTGAAGTAATCCTCCTCCTCTGTCTCCACAGCCCCAGACCCTGCTTGTAAATAGTTATATTTTCTCCACTGTAAATAAACATTTTTCAATTATATTTGAGTCTGGTTCTGTTTTCCTCTCAATCTGTTTTATCTGGGCACCCCCCATTACAACATCAACAGATCTGAACCCAACAGAGCCTGAACTGAAGGTTTAAGACTGGCCAAGTCAGTCACCTGAACCTGACCCAACAGAGCAGCATGAATTTCACCTCCTAAAGAGACTGGTTTTTGTTTAGTGGAAAAATCTGTTCTGAAAACAGAATAATTTACTGTCTTTATAAGCTCTCACATGAACCTAAAGGTAAAAAAATGTTTTTAAAATTTAAATTTGGATATCAGAAAATCAAAGTAAACAGGAGCAGGTTGGTGTGTCGGTGTGTTTCTCTTTTGTGATGTGATTTCTCAAACCTCTGACAGCGTCAGGAGACAACTCGCCTCTGAAACAGCAGATATGGACACATTCTGAGGACTCTGTTCCCTTAAATGTAGGTCACTGTGCAGCTCGGACTCAGATGACTGATGAGCGTGACCATCTCCATGTGCAGGGAGAAGATCAGATGTTACTTAATATGCAGTTGCTCCAGCAGCTTCATCTCCACAGACAAGCCAGTTAATAATGCATGAATCAAACGGCCTGTTAGACTACATGTGAACTCAGCTTGTGAGGGATAAATGGTAGACAAGAAGAGGGTAAATTACTGGAAAAAATCAGTAAAACAAAACAAAAAGGCATCAGCTTCATTTCATCAAATCAGTTTAAATTATTGCTGCATCAATTATAAAATTCTGAAACGATACCAAAGTTGAAACAAGTAATTGGGCTGATACACAGAAAGGATTATATTTGGTGTTTGTTTTTCCTTGAATGTCAAAGAAACAATGGAATCTCTCTTAAAACAAGCGATATGGAATATCTTGCAAAATGATTTGAAGCTCCCGACCTTGACCTCTCTAAGTGGCTTTAAACATCTGTGAAGCTCCTGGCAAGAACCAATGCAGACATGTTCCTGTTTGTAGTTTTCTACACCGCCTTATAATATAGCTGTTTTTCCCCCGCTACTTTTCCTTTTAATTACCATTTTATTTACCATTTTATTTCCATTAGTAAAAAAAAAAAAAAAATTGTACGCATCCTTTATGATGGTCTATTGATGTCATTAATGTCCATTGTTGTCATCACTCTTTGTTAATACTCAGGTCTCTTGTAAATGAGTCCTCGTGGCTCAATGGGACTAACCTGTACAAATAAAGGTTGAATGAATATGCCTACGTGCACACAACTGAGGGCTCTAAAGAGTGAATGTTTGTAGTTTTGGAGATTAGTGTTTTTTATTATCAGGGAATGTAAGTAACCCTTAACTGTTTTGGTGCAAGACATTAAAAAGTGTAGGAGTTACACAATGTATTAGAGGTCATATTTATTAATTTATCTTTGCTTGCCTGTGGCCAGGTACAGATTTTTCTTTGGCCACCCCAGCCATTTGAGGAAATTTTACTTTTGAGTAATATAAAAACTAAAATGCATAGTTTCCTCAAATGATCGGGGTGGCTGCTTTAGAGTCAGAGTCAGAGTCAGAGAGAGATGTATTTGTCATTCGCATCTCATGTGGTACATGTGATGGAACGAGATTATGTACACAGGGTCCCAGTTTCATCCAACAATAAAATGTAAAAGAAAAACTGTAATAAGATCTAAGATATGAGCTAAGAAAAATATCAACTAAATATACACTAAGCACTAGTAGCATAAAAACATTCCGTCAAACAGCAGCACGAACATGAGTCTGTGTGAGCAGATGAGCATGAATGAACACACACACAAACACAAACACACATAAATACAATAGTGGCCATCTAGTGGCCAACACCAGAGGATCTGTGTTTTGAACCTGTACGCTCCACACTGGTTTGTCATCATATTTATTATCTGCATCGATTTGATGTCTATATTTTTGATTTACTTCATTTTGTATATTGCTTTGTGTGTTGCCTGTTTTTCTGTCTGTACAGCACTTTGATTGGCCTTGTAGCTGTTTTAAGTGCTCTATAAATAAAATGGTATGGTATCTTGGATTTTGACGTGGTGACCCCATTTTTGGAGGGATCCTGTCTTACACCTACATGCAGGTCCACTGTTCAAATCCCGGTCCGGGGGTCTTTCTAGGTGGAGTTTGCATGTTCTCTCCGTGCATGCGTGGGTTTTCACCAGGTACTCCAGTTTCCTCCCACAGACCAAAAACATGCATGTTAGTCTGATTGCTAACTCTAAATTGTCTCTAGGTGAGAGTGAGAGAGTGAATGGTTGTTTGTCTTGTTTGTCTCTATGTGTCCCTGTGATGGACTGGAGACCTGTCCAGGTTGTTCCCTGCCCCTCGCACAGTGACTGATGAATATGGGCACCAGTGACCCCTGTGCCCCAAAATGGAATAAACGGGTAAAAGATGATGGATGGATGGATGGATGGATGGATGGATGGATGGATGGATGGATGGATGGATGGATGGATGGATGGATGGATGGATGGATGCATGGATGTATGGATGTATGGATTTACTTTTTAAGTTGTGCTCATAACATGCACAGACAGATGGATGGACAGACGAAGAGTATTTTCAATTCCACTTTTTCACTCCGCAATGAGGGACAAAATGTACCAGAACAATTTGACTATGCGAAAAAACATTTACACAAATGTATCAAAAGACTGCTGTAACCCATTTACCTATAACTTATATCAAACTAGATTGTTAAACTGTCAATACAAATATTGATGCTCACATTCCCAAATAAAAACTATCCATGTCACAACCAGGACAAATGAAAAAATTATCACCAAAGCCTCAATTTATGCTTTAATGATTGCTGAAACACCAAAGGCAGTCTAACCTACTAATGACAGGACAGTTCAGTAAAGGGTGTCTAAATAAGACCATGCCGAAACTAAGAAGGACAAACATCTATCCATCCATACATCCATCCATACATCCATCCATACATCCATCCACACATACCTACAGTGTCTTGTGAAAGTATTCGGCCCCCTTGAACTTTTCAACCTTTTGCCACATTTCAGGCTTCAAACATAAAGATATAAAATTTAAATTTTTTGTGAAGAATCAACAAGTGGGACACAATCATGAAGTGGAATGAAATTTATTGGATGTGTCAAACTTTTTTAACAAATAAAAAACTGAAAAGTGGGGCGTGCAATATTATTCGGCCCCTTTACTTTCAGTGCAGCAAACTCAGTCCAGAAGTTCAGTGAGGATCTATGAATGATCCAATGTTGTCCCAAATGACTGATGATGATAAATAGAATCCACCTGTGTGTAATCAAGTCTCCGTATAAATGCACCTGCTCTGTGATAGTCTCAGGGTTCTGTTCAAAGCACAGAGAGCATCATGAAGACCAAGGAACACACCAGGCAGGTCTGAGATACTGTTGTAAAGAAGTTTAAAGCTGGATTTGGAAACAAAAAGATTTCCCAAGCTTTAAACATCCCAAGGAGCACTGTGCAAGCAATCATATTGAAATGGAAGGAGTATGAGACCACTGCAAATCTACCAAGACCCGGACGTCCCTCTAAACTTTCATCTGGAACAAGGAGAAGACTGATCAGAGATGCAGCCAAGAGGCCCATGATCACTCTGGATGAACTGCATCTACAGCTGAGGTGGGAGAGTCTGTCCATAGGACAACAATCAGTCGTACACTGCACAAATCTGGTCTTTATGGAAGAGTGGCAAGAAGAAAGCCATTTCTCAAAGATATCCATAAAAAGTGTTGTTTAAATTTGTCACAAGCACCTGGGAGACACCAAACATGTGGAAGAAGGTGCTCCGGTCACATGAAACCAAAATCCAACTGTTTGGCCACAATGCAAAACGATATGTTTGGAGTAAAAGCAACACAGCTCATCACCCTGAACACACCATCCCCACTGTCAAACATGGTGGTGGCAGCATCATGGTTTGGGCCTGCTTTTCATCAGCAGGGACAGGGAAGATGGTCAGAATTGATGGGAAGATGGATGGGGCCAAATACAGGACCATTCTGGAAGAAAACCTGTTTGAGTCTGCAAGAGACCCGAGACTGGGACGGAGATTTATCTTCCAACAAGACAATGATCCAAAACATAAAGACACATCTACAATGGAATGGTTCACAAATAAACGTATCCAGGTGTTGGAATGGCCAAGTCAAACTCCAGACCTGAATCCAATCGAGAATCTGTGGAAAGAGCTGAAGACTGCTGTTCACAAACGCTCTCCATCCAACCTCACTGAGCTCGAGCTGTTTTGAAAGAAAGAATGGGCAAGAATTTCAGTGTCTCCATGTGCAAAACTGATAGAGACATACCCCAAGAGACTTGCAGCTGGAACTGCAGCAAAAGGCGGCGCTACAAAGTATTAACGCAAGGGGGCCGAATAATATTGCATGCCCCACTTTTCAGTTTTTTATTTGTTAAAAAAGTTTGACACATCCAATAAATTTCATTCCACTTCACGATTGTGTCCCACTTGTTGTTGATTCTTCACAAAAAATTTAAATTTTATATCTTTATGTTTGAAGCCTGAAATGTGGCAAAAGGTTGAAAAGTTCAAGGGGGCCGAATACTTTCGCAAGGCACTGTACATACCCACCTACATACCCACCTACCTACCTACTCGTTTCGGCATACAAATCACATTTATTATGCGTCACTGCTGACCCATTGTGTTTATTATGCATTTATTTAATGGTCAAAGCGGCTTTATTTCATCTGGGTGGCGCGGCGTCATCCATCCATTTATTCTTTGCGGCCGGAGCCGCTAGCTCTCCAGCGTTCCTCCACCTGCACTGGCTGAGTGAAGCGAGTGCGCACAGGAGGACTCGCTGTTGCAGTTCTTAGAAATTGAATGCATTTAAAGCATGAAGAGTATTCTAATTTTACTTTAGGAGTTTCTGTGTGCGTTTGTCTCGTTTTCTCCATGTTGGCCCTATGATAGAGGAGCAGCATGTCAAGACTGGAACCCTCTTTGCAATCTTTGAATGTTGGACGTAAGAACCAGCCCTCCATGGCCTTGAACAGGACTAAGGGTGTATTGAAGTAGGATGAATGAATGAATAGTTTGCAGCAGCTGGTCACCTAGAACCTAGAACGCTTCACCACTTACTCTTGCCAAGGTCGGACGCTTTTTCCTTCCCCTCCCTCTACCCTTTGCTTTACTGCTCTGTCTGTCTGTCAAACTGCTTCTGAGCCTCTCTTGCATATCTTCTGAATCATAATTACAGACTTGATTTGAACGGTTGGTCCCTCAACACAATTGATAACATTTCATCTAAGAGAAGACAGGCTTTAGGCGAGCCGATTTGCCCTGTTGGCACGCATGCAGCTGGATATCTCATCGACTTGGAAGACTTGATGACGTTTATATTATATATATTGCATGTTACTAAAGTTGAAAATGAAGACATCAGGTTAATTTTTTTATTTATTTATTCAACATCACAAACTGTATGTCACACAAACACTGATAATTAAACTGAACACACTATTAAAAACAAGTTAACTGTAAACTACATTAATGAACTGGACTCTGCTCTATTTCCATCCTGGATGTTTCACGTTGTTCATCTGGCTCGTTCAGGCTGTCTCTCCTTTGATTAATGCAGCTTAAAACATTCAATGGATTAAAACATTCAATGGATTAAAACATTCAATGGATTGAATAAACGAACTGAGGGGAATTTTAAATAAATAGTTCATCCAACATCTCTCTCTCTCTTCCACGTCCTCCTGCACTGCACCTGGGCGGAGCCTCGTTCACAACCGGTCCGCCTGGTGGAAGGACAGCTTCTTCTTCTTTCAGGAAAAATAAAAATAAAAACTCAACTGGTTGTTGTGTGATCAAAGTAAACACAAGCTAACATTATTAAGAACATTTGATTTACCTGCTGTAAATCAGCTACTGATTATCAGGAAGTAAAGTCCAACATTGTCGACTCGGTTCTGGTCCACTCAGTGACCGGTGTAGAGCTGAAGCGGTCCCGCTTGGCATCAAATCTGCCGACTCTTATCCAAAACTTGTTGGTAGCTGAAGTTTTAGCACAGAGGAAAGGATTGTGCTGAGGCAGCACGCATGCGCATTAGGTGAAGGTACAAAATTCACAGCATCATCTAAGTAGATGTAGAGTAGAGCTGCTGCCTCTCAGCGAGCAGGTCCCTGGTTCAAACCCCGGTCCAGGGGCCTTTCTGGGTGGAGTTTGCATGTTCTCTCCGTGCATGCGTGGGTTTTCTCCGGGTGCTCTGGTTTCTTCCCACAGTCCAAAAACATGCATGTTAGGCTGATAGGTAACTCTAAATTGTCCCTAGGTGTGAGTGAGAGAGTAAATGGTTGTTTGTCTCGTTTGTCTCTATGTGTCCCTGTGATGGACTTGTGACCCGTCCAGGGTGTACCCCGCCCCTCGCACAGTGATTGCTGGACATGGGCACCGGCGACCCCCGTGACCCAAAATGGAATAAGCGGGTAAAGATAATGGATGGATGGATCTAATGACCCGGCATGGTAACTACAGCGGATTCGGGAGGGTGGGGGGAATTCCTCCGGATGCATGTAAACACAAAATCCAACCGTGTCAACGCAGATCTTTTCCTCTAATTAGCATATGAAAAAACCTACATTTCCCCCCATTGTGTCCGTGTAAATAGGGCCTGAGACCTGGATTTAGAAACTTTCAGCTTCAGAGAGAATGAGGCTGTTGTCGTGTAAATGAACGTCCGAACGCTTCACGTCGTGTAAACGGGGCCTGAGACTGGCTGCCCTGTCTGTCAATCAAGAGACAAATTTCATAGATGATGATTGGCTGACATCTAATTTTTTAATGCCATGCCATCTACCCAGAATACCTTTGCGATCAACCGGTAGATCGCAAACAACGTATTGGTCACCCCTGTATAATCCTTTACTTGATTGCCTATTGTATCCAACGCTTAATTATCTGCAGACCAGAACAATTACTCATCACTAACCCTGCTCAGTGAGGCTGGGTTCAAGCAGCACATGTTGTCACATTTTGTTTTTTTAGTCTGAGCACTTAACTGATGAAGAATGCAAGCTTTTTCTATTCCTTCAAGTGTTTTATTGTTTTCTCAAGAGTTATCCTTAGTCATGCTTTGCTTTTTGTTGCCATCTTTGTTTTTTCTCACTTCTGTATTTTTTTTCTCTCTGTGCCCCCCCCGCTGCTTTCCCTGTTCAGTCTGTCCTCATGCCTGTTCTCTCAGTAATTTTATGAGAGGAAGTTTGTGAATCACAAAGGTAATTTTATTTTTTTGTCCTGTATGACTAGTCCTCATGTTTCCTTCTACCATATCCCAAAGAAACCCTGTCTTTTCTTAAACACATTATTCTCATTATTTAAGCTCGTTATCCACTTTTTAATGGATGTGCTGTTCTTTTGTTGGCTTGAAAACTGACAAAATTGACTAAAGATGCAAAATATTATTTTTCTTATCTGTTGGATTCTTTGATTTGCTGTGTAATGTCCTTTTTCTTGCTTCACTGCAACCTCAGGTGACTTTATTACAAGAGTGAAAGTTAAAAGCAACAAAAAGTTTTATTCACATTGACACCGACTTCATAACATCAATGGTTTCAACGTATCCTCATCTAAACATTCACTGGGAACAGAGGCAAATCGTAACAATGCTTCATTTTTATAATTTTTAGGGGGGGGCTGTGGCTGAGTGGTTAGAGCAGTCGTCCTCCAATGAAAGAGTTGGGGGTTTGATTCCACCAGCAGCCACATGCTGACGTGTCCCTGAGCAAGACACTGAGCCCCTCATTGCCTCTGATGTGTCCCATCAGTGTATGAATGTGATAAAGCTCTGATTAGTCTTTGTATAGATCTAGTAGAGTGCTGCATGAATGGGTAAATGAGGCACAGATTGTAGTGTAAAGAGCTTTGAGTATCTTGATAAGACAGAAAGGTGCTATATAAGTACAGTCCATTTACCATTTATAATCTTTATTTTTACTGGAGTGCATTCTGTTGTATTTGGTTATGTTTCAAATGAAAGCTGTTATTGAGTACAACACTGTAGATTAAAAGCATACAGAAAGAAATTTAACGATGAGCTGAGACGAGCTGGACTGAAACTCTGAATTTGGCTGAAGCTAAGCTCAAAAACGCAGAGAAATCCTGGAACGTCTGACATCAAGGATGACTTTAGCTCAAAGAAAGGTTTGGCTGCTGCAGGAATGACTGAAAGATAACACCAGCTCAGGTTTGAATTAGGATTTTACTCCTGTTTGCTGATTTTCATTTCATTCATTAGACTGCATTTCTTTAAACTCATTCACTTGCACTGCTGCTGGATTTTTGGAAGCTATAAATGTAACCTTATGCAAATTTATGATTAAAAACGCAAAGCATGAAACTCATAGTGTTGGATTTATTTGCGTACCTGATAACATCTGAATGATACATGCTCATTGGTGAACTTAGTGAGGAAGTGTGCTTGGTCCAGAGATTTTTTGGAGGTTTTGAACAGTTACTTATTTTTGGATTTTTAACTACATCTCTGTAGTCAACTGTCCAGATTGCTAGAACTTCACCAGGTGAAATTCTAATTGCTTTATGTCATATAGAGAGAGCAGTCATTTTAATGTGGGGTTCCTCATGGTGAACTTGGGGGGCACGGCTACTCGACTCTAGGAGCTGAGGTGAAATAGAGGTGTGTTCCGCTGATGAAGGCTGTTAGTGCCTGGTCGAATCACTATTGAACCCAGCCTAAGAGGGCCTGACCATAGTGTTGTTCTGGGTAATACTCAGGAGTCTAGGGAGGTCCAATTACCGGTTAGATGAGGGCTGAAGGAGGGCTC